GGTGGGCGAGGGGAAAGCGCAGGGCCGGGGCGGCGGGGCCGCTCTCCCCCGGGGAGGCAGGGAGGGAGGGAGGGAGGGTTCATCTGCTTTTTGGCAGCCTGGTGTCTTCATGGCATCCCGCAGGGAGGAGTGTAACCAGTATCTCACCTCTGAAACCATCAGTGTTGACCAAGGGGTATTTAACCTGCTTCTGCTCTGCCTGCGGGACGATCGGTCTCCAGTCACCGTTTGTGTACGTGTAAGCCCCTCTCTCTGCGGGAGATGCTCACAGGTACAAGGGGACGGCTTCTCCCTGCAGCGGCACAGGCCTGCTGCTCATCCCCTTGGCCGACCCGGAGGGATGCGGCTTCCTTTGGGGGGGTCGAAAAAGCACCCTGCATTTCCAGAGTCCTGCTTCCAGGCAGGGCAGAGCCTTCCCAGCCAGGTTCACAGGTGTGCACGGATAATTACATGGACCATGTAAGGCCCATTTAGAGCTTAACTAGCCTCATCATTAGAAACTTGCCATAAATCCTCCTGCTGCAACTTACAGGTCTCTCTTTGTTCTACCCCTAGCAGACAGAGCACTTTTTCCCTTTTTCTGACAGCCTTCTACATATTATTTAAAGACATCACACCTCTGCTCAGTCTCCTCTGAATCACAATTTGTATGATTTAAGAGAAGCTTACCATGTTCCAGGACACACAGTGTCAATTGGGCCGAGCCTACATCCCCGGTCCGGGAAGAAGTTGCAACAAGTAAGGCAGGAGTAGCTCCCCGCAGTCACTGGGCTGACTTATCAGCCTCATCAACCTCATGTTTTTATTCCTCTAGGCTTTCTCTAATCAAAAGCTATTTTTAAGGTTGACACCTAGAACAGGGCACACTCACAGCTATAGCTACAACCTTAATACGAGAGTCAAGGAATTATTCACATCATAAAAACTGCTTGAAGCCTGGTTGTGAAGATGGAAGTGTTGCAGCCAACAGCAAAACCACCGTCACAGCTGGCTGTTTCTACTTACATCATACACCACGGGTGAATTCTCATCTCCCAAGGATCCTCGCTGCAAGAATAATACAGTAGGACTGTGCCATTGCTCTTTGACTTCTAGTGCTTATGTCTTGCTCCCAGCAGCTTTAAAAATATGCACTATACACATGGCAGAGTGAATAAAACATTAAAGACGTATTGTCCTAAGGCACACAATTGTATTATTTATTTCCAAGGCCGCAAACATGCCAGCGACACAAACTCACTACTGAAAGGAAGAGACTCACACTCAAATATATGCTTAATTTTATTTATTACATTTAAGAAGTATTAACATCTCAGGATATCTGGTTTAACCATCTAAGTCCAATCATAAGCAACAAAAAAAAAAAAAAGTTAATCATGTTTCAAATGAGCATTCTTACATTCATTCCCCCCCTGTAATGTAAAGAAAAGTTTGTTCAGCTGTATTAAATTCTTATGTGTTTGACTAATGGAAAAAAAAAAAAAATCATTAAAAATGTCTTAACTACCAGGCATCCTGGTTTGTTAATTGTTGTTGGCACTTGTGTTCACAATCAAGCACTCCGGTTGGTTTGTTAAATCTTCCCCTTCTACCCAGAACTGTCTTTTTGGGTGGTTTTTTTTTGTTGTTGTTGTATTTTTTTGTTTTGTTTTTTTTTTGTTGGTTTTTTTTTAAATATCTGGATATGTAAGTTTGTTCAAATAAGTTTAAAAAGAAAAGAAATCTAGGGTTGTCTGTCTGAGAAGTTCCTGCGCTGCTTCCCTTGATAACCCACCTATCGGATAACTGAAGGAATTTAATTTGCTTTCATTTTTCTGAATCTTATTGAGCAAAAGTTCTTTTTAATTCCATTTAAACTGAAAAAAGTACAGAAACACTGTCTTCATTTGATGGTGTGCATAAACATTACACTCCATATATAGCAAAAATATCTTTTATTTATAATTTACATTTCCACAAGTGAAAATTGTACATTTTTACATAGACCGTTTCATTCCATTAAATTTTCACGCATCTACAGAACTCTCACACAATGACACCTGAAACTGTGCAGGCAATAAGAAATTCAAATACAAAAATGTATTTATTAACCAAACAGCAGTTGAGGCCCTGCCTCAGTTGAACATTTTTATTTCATATAAAAAGTATTTGCCTTCCAGAGTTAACACAGCAGCTCTTCTGTAAAAAAAAAACTCATACCTCAGTTTATTTAAACAGACTCTTCAGGTTCTGTTTTAATATCTGTAGATGCAGGTGTGCTCTCTTCTGCACAGGCAGTAGGGGTGTCATCAGGTTCTTCTTTGACTTTAGGTGAGTCACAGGACTCTTGTGTTTCTTGTTTAACAATGTTCAACATAATATTTAGTGGATTTTCTACAGGAGTCTTGCTGGGAGATGGTGTGCAATCGAATGATGATGTCTGCAAAGTGAAAGACAATGCAGTGTTAACACATGTTAAAATAACCACTTTTAGCTTCTTATCCCTTTTACTCTTTTTCAAAATGCAAACACGTTGGTAGTCAGGCACTCAAAATCCAAGCTTCTACTTTATCAAGATCCTAAGAAAACAAACTTATTCTTTAATAGCATTACTTTTTCACAATTACTTTGAAAAGGTATCATCCAAGCAGTGATGAAATGCTTAACACATTACCATAAACTATTCCCTGCTGTCCCCAGGGGAACTGTAACTCCCAAAGCATTAAAAACATAACACACCCCAACACCCGTTTACTCCATTTTTGCAACTTCCTAAGATTACGCACGTTACTCAACAATAAACGCACGATGTGTTTTCAAACCACGGTTTCGCTGTAGTCGTGTATGACACGCAAGCTGTCACGGTACATCACAACCAGAAAAACATCTTCGCTAATTCTGCATTATAAACTCGCCATGCCCAAGGCCTTTGAGTCTGCCTAGTCATAGGCAAGAGAAACGGGTAGCACGTTCTGAACACATCTGCTCCCTGCAGAGTCGGAGATCGAGCAAACAAACCGAAAGCAAAATGCTTCCAAAAATATGAAGAAGGATTCACTTACATTTTGGTAATCTTCGTAGCAAGATGGATGGTAAATCTGAAAAAGAATTGTTATACAGTTAAATACATAAAAATAAATTTGAGCTGGATCACTGGTTATGAACAGAACAGTGTCAATTACACGTATCAGACAATTTGTCTAGAAAAACAATGGTATGAGCAGGCCAAGTATGGTGTCAAATGTAACTGGGAAAAGATTTTGTGTATGTTTGTTTAGGAGAAGTTATCATACAGAAGCCTGCTAAGTGCTAGGAATTATTTCTGTACAGCTGCAAACAGAAATAACTGAACCAGTATCTACACCCATTACAGAGAGACATTCGTTTTCCTTTTAGCACTGCAGTACAAGGGAAGGCCAGGGAGCCTACGCTAACGATACCAGGACTTCATGCACTTCCAAAGGCTGAGATATTTATCTACTTGGAAGCCAGGGAAACCAGCATGGGAATCCTTCAGGAGGGAAAAGGCACTTGGCCCTCCCAATTTTTGTGCTGTAATTCTTCGTGTTTTTTACTGTAAATAAGTATCACATGTAAATAAGATGAGATTACCTTTTCATCTACTCTGATAGCATTCTTCAGGTGCCACTCTTCCTCTTCCTCATCCCAATACTGTTCAAATTGCTCTTGGCAAATTTCACAGCTCTGAAAAATTATTGGAGTAACAGAGATAAATGAGGTTATTGCAACAATTTACTGAACACATGAACTTCAAGAATTTAGTAACAGTCAAACAAGGTTCTTTTAAGTTAAGATGCATACATTAAGACTACAACATGATCTTTCCTCCACACTTTAAAAATAACTTTAGAAAACTTTAATTAAAAATTATTTGAGTATAGTTTGCAGACTGAGCAATGATCATCATCCGGTCTTGAAGACCGCTGTCACTTAAGAAATATAAGCCTTGCCCTTTTAGCTAGGAAGGCTTTGCAAAACAGTCTGTAACAATCTAATGCTGTTCTACCATCATGTAAGACAATCCAGTACACAGATTTAATTAATTTTATTTATGGCATTATCTTCACTCTTCCCCTTAACCTGGAGTCTCACATTAAAAAAGCAGAACTTTTAGATGAAGTATTAACATTTTTAGTACTTCTGTGCAAAATCATCAACTCGGGGAACAAAGCACAAAAGGTACTTTTTAAAATTATAACAAAGGCCTTTGTGGCTCGATAGCTAGTTTCTTAGAGGCTCAGCATGTAAAACTAAATTGTAATTCTACCAACATTTGTATTTGATTACTACACCGATTCATCTACCAAAATACAGACCTACTGGTTACTTTAAGATATTTCTTTATCCTAATGCCTCTCTTCTATTGAAAAAGAAATTTCTGTGTCGAAGTATCAAAAACCCAGTAAACCCAATCATTATTCAAATGACAAAGGACCATTTCCCATTCACTTGCTCTATTTACTTTCTATGGAAGCATTCAGTAAATTAACACACTTTCCCCATTTCAATTTTGCTAAAACGATGGAATGCCAGTGGGTGTAGATTATTTTTTTTGAACTACAGGTGATTTATACTACTACCTGCCACTGGGAAACAACCATTACGTACAAAAACACACCACCTATGAAGTGGCTGCACAGAGGTCCAAGAACAAGACTTCAGTCTACATACAGCCCGCTGTATGAAAGAATGTTGTAAACATCTTTGAAGTATTAGATCATTCTCAGTATCTGGGCTAATAAAAGCAAGCTGAAACTCACCTCAACTGCTCCAGCTGGTCCAGCAGGGACACTCTGAAACTCCTTCTCTTTCGCAGCTTCTTGTGTCTTCAACACAACCTCTTCATGAGCTTTTTCAAAAAACTGGCTTTTTGCACGCTCCTCTAGATCGGCTATTTCTTCAAATTCAATCCAGTCCTAAGGAAAAAGTTTTCATTCACATTCGGATATGCTGATAAATAGCCAGAAATGTTTAAAAAATACATCTCAGGAAAACAAAACAAAAAAAAAAAAAAAGAAAAAAAAGACAACCCAAAAATTACTATATTTAATAAATCTCACTGCATTAAAACTGAAATGTTCCTCGCATGCAGCATTAGCAGAGAGCATGCTTTCTCACAATGCTACACTTCAAAAAAAGCTTTTTCCAGAAAAACCACTATCCTTCAATTGCCATTCCATTCTCAGTGCGACCAAAACAGCACCAATAGCTTCAAACTGTTTATTGTTCATCATATAATTGCCTTTTGTGTTTTGACAGGCATTTGAGAACTACTTGAAGTATCTAAGACATCATTGTTTACCAAAGGCCAACTCCGATGATGATGTAAATTTCAACTGCAATCCTACAGCACATACGTGAGTAAAACACAGAATCCGGCCTGTAATTCATCAAGACTCACACTGCAATACTTACTGTTAAACTGTAGTACCATCTTCGGTGTGTAATTTTTCTGCTAACATCTTTTTCTGTCCGGTTCTGGCGATAATGCCAATCTAAATGATCCGCATAAACATCCGTCTGTGAAGTAGTGAATCTCATTCCACACGAGTAACACTGAATTCCAGTGTACAGTCGATTTATAACACTATCATAACGCCTACAAAAAGCAGAAAAAAAAAAAGTCTTAGCATTCCTTTGGAAAGAAACAGGTACGAAGTACTCAGTAAGTTGCTTCATATGCCCACAAGAGTAGAGGAAAAGCATGAATCTACTGCAAGGTTAAAGTATGCAATATATCTAAATTCTTCCTGATTTTCATAACACAATTGAGACATTCAAATAACAAACAACGGGCTCATATTAACTATTCACAAGAAATGCGCTAGTGTTGTGTTTCATGCCTACTAGCTTCATCACCTAACAGCGCATAAAATGGTAACGCTTGCATTTGGCTCGGCTTTGCAAACTACCACAAAGGTGGTAAAATTAGTAGTAACAAACGAAGAAACACCGACTTCAATACGTATCACAACCTTGCTGATGAGGTAACAACATGCAACTTGTGTAAAGATAGCTTTCTCAGGTTAATTTTCCAGTTTTTTCCTCCATCAAATTCTCCAAGGCTACCATCAAAAACTGCAGGTTTTCCAAAGCTCTCAGCTGTCTGGGATTAACTATCTAGACACTATCATCTCTTTATTCTTACTGCACTGTGAACTCCTTCTACTATACGCACTGTCTAAGTTCTTCAACTGTGAAGTTAGTGAGGTCTGGAACATTTTGATCTTCGTTCTGGTCATCATCTTCCTCTTCAGCAGCTGGCTGGGATGATGTTTCATTCACTTCTAGAAAGCATAAAGATATCATTTTATCAAAATTTCAGTGCATCATCAGAAAGTAATTATGTGCTCCTGAAAGCTGCTTTTATTCAAATATTAATAAATACAATCTGACTATGCTAAAATACAAGCGTGCCATAGCTAAGTCAGTCATCTTCTAACATAATTTTTAAAAAAGCACAAAAGACACTGAAAGCTACTCAAAATGTCAATGTAGGAAAACAAGCATTTCACTTCAGTCTTTGGCATTAAAATTCAGTCTTCAGAGACACAGAAACATTTCAGAAACTGGCAAGAATCTGATTATAATCAAGAACAAGTCACCTAGGCACAGCACCAAAGACAAAACTGATGGCTCTGGATAGCTGAAGTGTGCAAATTAAACAAGATACTAAGAATTCACTCCATCACACGCACTAAATTCCTTCCCAAAACCAAAGTTCAGTTCCAAAAGCATGCAGGAGTTCACAAAAGTTCTTATACTTAGCTTTACACTTCAGCTGTGGATAAACTGAGTAGTTAGAACATAATGGATCTACATACGTGCTGAAGTGGAATCAGTTTTTGACAGTTTGAGGATCCCTGTTGACAGCAGTTTAGCAAACAATTCATTGACATCAAGCTGTCCAAGGTGGTTATCAGGATATGAATGTGGAAGGGCTCCTAGGGAAAAACATCGACATGCAGGAAGACAAAAGGTTAGCATCAGAAGTTCACTTCACTTTTATCAGCATATTTCACAACACACTTCTGCCTCCCATTTCTTTCATATTTTATTTCAAATTATTTATCAACTCTCTGCTTTATGTCTAGTCCTTGGCCAACTTCTTCCCTTGCAGCAGCTTCCTTCATAATGTATTCTGAAGTGCTATCTAAGCTGGCTGCCCATACACGGATCGTTACTGAATACTGTTTATTAAAATGTAGTATTTTCCTCATTTTATGCTTGAATATTTCACCAGGACCAATCTATTTCATCACCTACTTTAACCATTTATGACTTTTTAGAAGCTTTTCATTACTAACCATTCATATACTGGGAATGTTTACACATGCTGGCAAACACAAACCAGACTACAGACTGGTACCTTCCAGAAAAGCAGACACAACTACATACCAAAACCACATGGTTAATGAAAACTAATGAACGTCTTCACTGATTGAGGGAAACTCCTAAAGAGATGAAAGTACTACAGAAACCACATCTATGGCCACCTCACTGGGGAGGCTTCCCTTAGTCCACGCAGACCTAGTGCACCACCACATTACAAAAGGGTAATTTTTGTGGCCACTAACAAACAGAACAATCCAAAAGAAATAAAAGGAAGTTAATTATTTTCTTACACACCTGCAGGGTTCTGAACAAAACTTCCAGGATTTGGCAAATACTGTTGACCTTGGCCATAAGGCCCTGGTTGACCAGACATGAGAGAAACCTGTGAAAATAAACATTGAAGTATTTTTTGTATAATAATGGGATTATAAACTTTTTTAATTTTATCATTAACTTCTAGACATTTCTCAATAATTTCAAATGTATTAAACTCCTTCCAGGAGTGATCCATGTCAATTTGTTATTGAAAGGTCCACAAATGACTACATAACATTTCCCTCATTTTCATCCCCCACTTGAAACATTTTAGGACACATACCCATTTTGCCTAACATTTAACTTAAAAACCCCCCCAACATTTCTTCTGCTTATTGAGCCTTCAATCACGTTTTCCAAACACAGTACTTCCTTTTAAATTGTTCCTCTTCACCAAAACAGAGCTCATCAGAAAGAAACTTGAGAAACTCTTAGACATCTATTAACAAATGCCACTATTAATTCTTATCTAAGAACTGAAATAGCATCCACTAGACGAAACACATCTTGAATGCATGACTTTTCCCCAAACCAGCTATAGTAAGCTTCAGATAGAAAAAGTTTTTATAACACACTTGTAATAAAAATGTTTTGGGTTTTTTTTTTCCTAATTCACTGCTTCCTGGATTTACAAAAAAAAAGTTTAAATTGTTCAAAATTTTATCCCATTAGAGGTTAGCAGGAAACATTACCTGCTTTAATTTGGTTAACTCTTTGTGTGCAATGATTATCCCCCAAATGAAACATACCCTTTAAAATCTCTAATCTACTGAAAGAACTGACATCATTTTCACTGATGTACAGTATCATTTTCCCTTTTTGAAGAGAGCATTTCCAACTGGCAACAGCAAAGACAACTGAACTTGTAAAGCACGCTGGTGCCAAGAGAATTTTAAAAGACTGTAGTTCAACAGTCTCTATCTTTCTCAATTCCCCCAAGTTACGGGTATCTCTTTAAAACTGGCTTGTCACCAGTACTAACAGCTGCAAAAAGACAACAGAATTATTTTGTTCGATTCTAATTCTACACTTCTTAGAAAAATTAATCATGCATATTCACTTACACTATCTTTCATGCTTTATATAGAATTCACTTTTGTGCAAGTTTAATGAAAACACCACAGGCTTCTAATGACCTAGTTTTGTTTTCAAGATAAAAATACTAATTTCACTGTTGTATTCTGAGCTACAAAGTGGTTGTAAAGATCCACTATTTTGTTTAATTCTTAAAAAAAGATTCTTCAAAAATAGCAATGCATGTCCCTCTTAAGTTATCTGGAAACTACTGAAGAAGGATGACTTTTTTAGCTTGAAACTGGCTCCCAGTCTGCCAGCTCTTCAGAAAAATCTTCTATTTTTAGAGGAAGAAAACCTGCGAATTCTCTACACAAAAAGACTTCTGCAAGCAAACCATTTAATGCTATCAATTCTTACCTGATTACTTCCCATTGGCATATTATTGAAGTTTCCATATTGAGGACCCTGAAGACCTTTTTCATCGAAGTAATGTCCAGCTGCTCTCAATGGGAAATTCTGTGCTCCTGGGCCAGCTGGCCCATTGAAATTTGGTCCAGGTGAACCATCAAATAGGTCAGGCCTCTGGAACTGCATCCCATGAGACGGTCCATTGTAGCCCTGGCCAGGATGGTCGACAAACGGACCACCTTGTCCGTATGGTGACATCTCTAGTCTTGAGGCAGGATGGTTAGCTACATTTTCGAAACGTGCACCTTGAAGGCCAAGGGGCAAGTCAAATCTAGAGGCTGGCTGGTGAGGTCCATCAAATCTTTGAGGTATGGCTGTATCAAATCGTGGTTGTGCCTGTTGGCCAGGCGCCCTTTCAAATCTTGGACCAGGCTGTCCATGAATTCCATCAAATCTTTGCAAGAGAGACAGCTGTCCAGGCTGACCATCAAATCCAGCTGCATGACAACCATCAAATCTCGGACCCGCCCGACCCAGAGGACCATCAAATCTAAGTCCACCAGCTCCCTGGTGTACTGGTCCATCAATTAACCTAGGGCCTACACCTGGCTGACCATGTGGTCCTTCCAATCTGAGCCCACCACCTGATGGTCCATGTGGCCCCTCAAATCTGAGCCCAGCACCTGATGGTCCATGTGGCCCCATAGGCTGACCATGTGGCCCCTCAAATCTGAGGCCACCTCCAGGTTGACCATGGGGCCCCAATGGCTGTAAATGTGGCCCCTCAAACCTGAGGCCACCCCCTGGTTGACCATGAGGCCCCAAGGGCTGACCATGGGGTCCCTCAAACCTGAGACCACCCCCTGGTTGACCTCGAGGCCCCATAGGTTGACCATGAGGTCCCTCAAACCTGAGACCACCTGAAGGCTGACCACGGGGACCCTCAAACCTGAGACCAACTCCAGGTCCTTCAAATCTAGGACCACCTACAGGCTGCCCCGCAGGCCCCTCGAACCGCAAAGGCCCGCCTATCTGCCCAAGAGGTCCCTCAAACCTCAGTGGACCTCCTCCACCAACCTGTCCTGGGGGTCCTTCAAACCTCAGGGCCCCTGCCAGTTGCCCTGGTGGCCCATCAAATCTCAGGGCTCCAGCTCCCCCTGCTCCTGCCAGCGGCCCATCAAACTGAGATGCACCTGCCCCCACCAAAGGCCCCTCAAATCTCATAGCAGCCTGTCCAGGTGGCCCATCAATTCTGGAACTTGAACCAGCAGCAGGACCATCAACAAAAGGACTCCCTTGTCCATCTATCCCAACCCTTGCAGCAGCCTGCCTAGGTGAGCCATCAAAAAGAGGTCTGTCTTCCATTAGTGCACTTATCCTCTGCTTTGCTTCAATTCCTCCAAATCTTGATCCTGGACTTTCTGGAAACGGTGCTTTCTCTGGATCTTCATACCTAGCTCTTTTGAAACGTTCACTGAATGGTGATCTTGGTTCCTCTCGAACACCTAAAAAAAACCAGAACGAACCAGATAACTACTCACTAAAATGTTGCCAATTATTTAACAGCTGTAAAATAAAGCAAAAACACATACCAGCTTGCCCAAGAAGCTGTCTTTCTTCACGATTATCAAATCTGCAGATTGCATCACCATCTATTTTCTGGAACTCTGTTGTGCTTTTGCCCTGTTGTCTGAGAGCATCTCTAAATTCATCTGATTCTCCCCAGCTGTCGTAGGGATCAAAGTTCTTAGAACCTCTTGCTCCTTTGGTAGCGTTTTGTTCCTCAAGTCTTCGTCGACTCTCAAGCGGTGAGAGGTTATCGGCAAAAGGTCTGTTAGTGCCACTTACAGGAGAGTGTCTCCTTGATCTTTCTGCAAATGGTTCTTTTCTGTCAAACTGTACTCCACGCTTGGCTTTTGCTTGCTCACATTCTATTCCAGACAGCAATGCGTCAGGCAAATGATAATCCAGAATATCATCAGGATCCAACAGGTCAAGCCTTGACAATGAATGCTGAACTTGTGTTCTTTTTAGTTTAGCCTTATGTTCATAATATGTTAATTCTGCATCCGATAGAAGAGGTTTCTTTTTCAAACCACATTTTTCCTCTGTAGGGCTATCCCAGACATTACATCTGTGCTTTCCTTCCTGATACTGGAACAGCTGTCGGATCTGATGAGCTACCATGAGGAACTCATCTTGTGTTATTTCACCGGATGTTAAGCGTTCATTGGCCTAGAATATAAAGTTAAAAGTTTAGACTTCTAAAAAGGCAAGAAAAGCAAACTATACCCAGGACACTTCTATGAAGACAGATTTATTAATATTACCTTCTTAAGTAATTCTCTCTTGCTTGCAGATGTCAATTCTTTGGGAATCTGTAAATTAGCATCCACACTTAACCGGTGCTGCTGCTTTGGTGCTCGGGGTGACAAAATTCCTTTACCAGCAGGCCAGTTTTCCCGGTGTCTTTGGTGAGGGGATTTACCAAGTGCTTGATGTTCTTCGTTCTGCTGTGAGCTGAAAGCAAGAATACATTTAAAATACAGATTACTTCTTTATTCAGGACGTAACTGTTACATTCCTGTTAGAACTCATTACAGCAAAACATCACTATCACCTTAGAATCTAAGTACGCATAATTTCCATATCTCACCAGTAGAAATAAGTTAAGCTTATCAGTTTTAACAATCTGAACATTGCCTCCCAAAGCCGACTATAATGAAGCCAGCAGTAGAATTTCCACTGACTTCAAAGAAAAGTTGTTTAAAAGATAGTAACTTACTTTTTATTTTCTTCCCAACCAGATTTCCACCTCTTGCCTGATTTGGATCCTTGCCAGTTTTCTGCATTCTCCTTTGGATCAGGAGAAGCTTTTGTAGAATGCTGGCTTGCTGTTTCTTGGGGCCTATCTTCTTGGGCTTTTTTCACTCTCCTCGGATCTCGCACCTCTTGTTTAACATTTCTCTTATTAGAATTTCTTTCATCTCTTGCTGCTTGTGTGCCTTCTTCAACATGAGACTGCTTAGGACCTATCTGACGTATCTTTCCAATTTTCGGAGCTGATGAAGTGGGAGATAAACTCCTAAGTCTTCTTTTGGGTGATCTCCTCTCTCGTCTTTTTGGAGAATGCGTAGATGGTGACCGTGCCTTAGGAGAGCGTGATCGTGACCGTTTTCTACTACTTGATCTCCCTTGTTTTCCACCCTGTTTTTCTGACTCCTCTGTAGTTGTGTCTTGTTTCTGAACAGCACCATTAATTACTTTATTTCTGCTGCCTACTGGCCTATGTTCACAGGTCTTATGTTCCTCTTTTTCTTTTTTCTCTGTACTTCTCCTCTTTTCTTTCACCTCCTCCTCTTTGCCCTCTGACTTATCTTGAAGATGTCTTTTCAGTCTTGGATCCCGCTTACTAATTTCAGATACTTTTGTGCTTTCACATTCCTGGGTTTTAGTATCTTTAGTATTGGGCAGCTTATTTTTTAAAGGGGATGGTGATTTAGATTTTGCTTCTGACTGGTCAAGTTCTTTCTTCTGTGTTTTTTCACTTGCCTTCAATTTTTCTTGTTTTGTTGAATTTTGTTTTTCAGCCTGTGTTGTTTTGTTTACCTTGGTATCAGACTGACTGGTCGTGTTCGGTGGGAATTCCTTCCTATGAGATTGATCTTTAGCATGAGAAGAATGTTGAGCCATCCTATTAAGTCGAGGATCCCTATTTACTATTTTCATATCATGGAGGGGAGGACTTGGGGATGGTTTGTTTTTTTCGGATTGCACAGCAGTCTGATGAGGTGGTTTAACTGTCATATGAGGTGTAGGAGACATGTGTTGCTTGGAAGGTGCTGGAACTGAAGCTATAGTAGATGATCCTTGCTGAACACTAAGAGATACAGCCTGCAATAGGAAAAAAGCCAGCATTAATCTGCACAACTACTCAGAAATGGTCATATTTTGTCTCGAAACCAAAACTATAGACAGAAATGTCTTGAAAGTTACGAGACTCAGCCATTTAACTGAAAGTGACCCACTAATTGCTAATTACAGGCGGTAAAATAATGCAGTACCATTACAGAAAATCAAATTCAAATATAATGCAAAATCACTACTACAAAGTCAATACTGCAAAATATGTAACTTAGGCACGTGTTCTCATTACAGCGTTAGTTTTTCTATATATCCCACATGCTCAAGGCAACTAAGCTGCCACGTATCTGATGTAATTTTCATATTTCTACACTTTCAAAGATCTTTTATTTTGGTATCATCAACTGTCAACATAGCAAGACTTTCAATTACAAATGTAAAACAATACAGCTTAGCCGCCACCTTCAGATGGTGGCATCAAACCAACCTGACCTAATAAGGAAGCTGACTTTACTTCGCACGATCAGGCTTCCTTGTTCTAGAAGTGCAAATATATTTGAAAAAGTCTGGTTTGCTGTGAGCCACAAGAAGAGGTGGAAGACGAGGATCACAGGCACGCATCATTTTGGAGAGAAGTTAAAAACCAAAACTGAAGAACTTCACTTTTTTTTGTTTGTTTGTTTTAAAAACTTCTATTTTGAGTGTAATTCTTAAGGTTTTTAGGTAACGAATACTGTTCAGGAACCTGAGAACTTGCGTTGCTCTAGTCCCAAAATAGCTACGCTTACCTAACATGAGGAAAAAATAACGTACTGCAATTACCAGTATAGCTGAGTACTGTCCAAAAGAAAGTGAGACCCAACTATAAAAGTTTCATTAACTATCCTACTCACCAACTGTGCTTTAGTCTGTTCCAGCTCCAGCTCTAATTTTTTTTGCTGAAGTTCTAACAACTGCTTTTGCTTTGCAAGCAATTGCTGCCTTATCAGTTGCTCCTGTGTCAAATTCTTTTGTATTTCAGGAACAGCTGGAGGAGTAGAGGCACCAGAAGTGACAGCAGAGGTAGGTGCAGTAGATTCCTCTGGCTAAAAACAGAATAAAAAAAAGTTACATTTAAAATCCTGATGGAATCAACTAATTCCATCTCCTTTAACTGTTATCACGATCCAGTACTGGGACTTAGTTTGTACAGCAGTTATAAATTGCATTTTTAATGCAAAATATAACTAAAACAATTTAAAACTTTTGCCCCACTAGAATTTGTCTGCTGTGACAGCTGCATGTCAGTTAATATAAATCCATCAATGTTCCAAAATCTAGAATAGTTTTGAAATATAAAAAACAAACCCATCAAATATTCTGAATTTGGAAATTCCTCTTACCTGTCTACAAAGGTCAGATACTTCATTCTTAATATACTAAATTGTTCAAAAAGCAGCACACAAACAATGAAAACTACACGTATTACCATCTGTTCATACAGTAGGCATAAAAACTTACCGATTTATTTAAAAACTTAGGATTCACATGGATGCTAGAAGTATTCACATTTGGGGGCAGAGGTTTAATTGGCCAAGCAGGATCTAATGAGTTGACTCTGACATCAAGTGCATATAGTTTCTTCAAAGGAAAAATATCATCCCATGTGGAGCGTAATTTAAATAAACTTTTCCTAGTATTTTCATCCACCTAAAACAATAAAACAATTCTATGGCTTGTTAAGTTAATATAAAACGATTTCTTAAACTTTTCTGTAGAACTTAAGATTTCATTTATTTCCTATTTCTATCAACAGTTTGCCATTTTAACACGCTGAACTTGCTATACAGAATTTATAAGCAGTGCAGATATACATCTATACCAACGGAATCAGTAACAGAAGCTCAAATGTGGAATTGTTGTTTCAAGGCCATTTGAAGGTTTTATTGTGTATTACCATTCTCTGAGAATTTTCTTTCAACTTTTCCATTACCAAAATTCTCATTTTACTTGCCCAATTTCTGTGGAAAAAATACAGTAACAAAAATATTGAAAGGCAACAGCCTCTGCGACAATACATTATTCAGGTGTTTGTGCTGAATGGAGTATAACAATGACAAACAAATCAGGAAACAACAAACTTGGTGAACAGAAAAGGTGTTTTGCTCAGCTGTTCAGTCACTGAAGGATTTTTTCCCAACAAATGCAAGAAAAGGGGTATCAGCTAAAATGAAGTCAATTGTCAATTATATTTCAGTTCAGCTGCAAAATTAGACCCATCTGTGAGCCACTGATCAAGCATATTTGTAGGACCAGTGCCCATTTTATCTCTTCGCAAACCATTACTCTGGATTATCTCATGACAGGTAAGTTAGAAATTTACAGTAAAGCAAAATTTAGTTGATCTCTAACTTGAGTCGTTCAATTAATAAATGAAAAACATTTGAGGACAAAATATATGCAGCTGTCCTAACGTCAATACCCCAATTCAATCATTGACTATGTACATGGTTTTTGCTGCAGTTTTATTTTTAAGATCTTACAGCAAGACACAGAACAGTCTGGGAAGTTCAGAGGTTCTTTCAGGGAGAAGCAGGAACTTCAACAAAAATAATTCATACTCAGCTACTGGGAGGGTGCCTCTATGCAATTTTCAACGAGAGGGTATGAAGTTCACTGCAAAAGGTGCAAAAATGACTGAGCAAAAGTTTCTGACTTCAAGTGTCTAAAGATACCTTAGTGACCATTTACTGATAAAACAGAATTTGTAACAATGTCAGTGCTGGAATTCTACTTGCATCTTTTAACACGAACAATTAAGCTATTAGAAGTGACTGCCACTTTACACATTTAATTAATACACATTAATTAAATAGTTCTAGTTAGCTTAGGAGACAGTTAATCTATAAAACTCTGAAAATCCGTTATTATCCAGAGTTTCAGCTGCAACATTAAATGCAACTCAGTAAAAGAACATTCACAATTTAATACTGAAAAAACCTACCTACCTACTCTACACACAGGAGTTCATGTCTTCTATGGTCATTATTACAATCTATTCCTTATTTCATCATGCACTTTACATCTGAAAACCATATATATAGCACACTGGGATCTCAGATCCTTGCTGATATGTAACGATAGACAGACAGGCAAAAGCTCCATTCATCTCATTCACATGAGATGCCACTTTCTTATAGGATACAGGCAACCACAGAAGTTAACCCTTCATTTCTGATCCATTTTTAAACCCATGTAAGTCCAGCCTTTCAAAAACTGGACTTTGATTTGCCTTTCTCATTGAGGAATATGCACAATTACTTCACTGGGTTTAAAGATTAAGAGCAAAAATTAAAAGATATGGCAGCAGTTTTCAATGTTGAAGGAAATTAAAACATGTATTTGTGATATAATGTAGCAATACATCCTAAGACCCTTTCCCCCTCCTAGTGTTTTGTTTTGTTTTTTTTTTAAATCACAGACCACCAGGAGAGAATCAGGTGTCAGTGCTATTCACTTCTCACAGTTTAAGCACTCATTTTACACATCACGAATTAAGTAAATCAAACAAATCTAACTACAGGAGAGAGAAGCTCTGAGAAATCCACATGAAATTGATTCTCAGTCTATTCTTGGGATAAAGACTATTTGCTATCTTAAAAATAAACCAACAATTCATAATTAATTGGTCTATACATTACAGAAAGTCCATCCAGGTGAGCAATGGGTAACCAAAATACTGTTAGTAAAATCTTGCCTGGATAGGAAAATTACAGACATTTATGAACCAAATTAAGTAAGACTTTGCATCTTACAGCTAACACATAACTTACATGCTTGATGGAATAATCTTCCACAGTATAGATACAGTAATGAGATTTATAAAAAACAATCAATTTGTATAGTTTACCACCCAAGAAAACCCAAAACTGAAAGCATGTATTTATTTTACCAGGAACAAATTTTGCTTAGAATACAGAACTTTTCTGAAAGTGTATATACCTTTTCAAATACACAAATAAATGTTGCAACTAGGTTTTTAGTAAATGCAGTAAGATATTCTCTTCCCACATTCTTGACAATGGAATCCATAAGGTACATAACAGGGAGCTTCTCTGATGCAGGAGCCTGGAGTAATAAGAAGAAACTGAGAAGTTTAGTACAACAAAAACATATTTCAAGCTTTTTAAATAAAGGGATTACCAATCCCAGAAATACAGACCTCTCTTTTTGGTTGCCACTATAAACACCAAGGGATTTGGCTTGGGATTTTTTTGTTTATACAAAAACTTAATCTGGAAAATCGATACTCCGTTCAAAGTATAATGCAGTGGGTCTATCACACAAAAAAGGAACACCTTAGGTTATCTTGTTTGCGTATCAAAGCTTTGGAAAAAGGAAAAAAAAAAAAAAAAAGAAGGAAAAAAGAAGCCCACAAGACAGTATTGCTGCTAGTGTACTGAGCGTAACCTTTCAGCAGGAAACCATCCTTAGCACTTCAAGGAACTTCTAAAAAATACTTTATAATTCAAACCTCCAGAATGCTTGTTTTTCTGGATTTCACAGAACACAAATCAGACTTCTGGCAAATAGCCCAAATTAGTGAACTTCTGCAGCCGTAGATTACATGTCGAGTATCACAGTCTTTTCATAAACTACACGCAGAATAGGTCGCAACTATTTCATCGTAATCCAAACGGACGGAGCAAGGAGTCCCATTCTCTCTTGGCACTTGTAGATCACAACAGTTCAGATTTCCAGAGTGCATGCAAAAATGCACAGTCAGAACAAAGTTCAAAATCCAGACAAAACTCAATCATCTAGTCGACCGGGTAAGTGCACAGACAAGCTCAGGAACTGCAACCACGATTTTCACAGAAGGGAGTCTTCAAACTCTGGACACATCTTTGCTACAAGAGGAGGCTCGTTTTCTGTTGTTTGGTTTTTGATTTTGGTTGGGTTTTTTTTGGTTGTTTGTTTTTTTAAATCAGTTTTCAAAACTTGTAGCAAGTTTGTGCGATAGAAGTGTGGTGACACTGGACCTCTACAGCAACTTCCGATGTACACAAAGCACTACTGGCCCAAATCAAGGCGATTTCAATGCCCACCATCAGCTTTCAGAAAGCAGAAGGCACAGCAAAGTTCCAGAAAACATCAGCAAGTACACAGACTTGTTGAAGAGGACAACATGAAAGACAACACCACAAGCCATGTGTTGACCGTGATCCTCATAGAAGAGCATCCACTCGTAATCAGTCCCATTCACCATCTGGTAAGCTCGGGATAAAACCAGAATAACTTCACTCACTGCTCATTTTAAACAGGACAGGCTACTAGGTTAATTAACAACACCTGACTTCGCAGGCCCATTGTCCAGACAAGTGTGTGGAAGTGCTCTTGCTTTACAATTTTAGATTTAATTCCTTTCCCTTTAAGGTGGTTCACAGAAGGGCACCGAGTTAACAATACTTTTATATGGGCAAATCACAATGTTTCCTCACCCTTAAATGTGTATTAATTTACCATGACCTGAAACTTAATATTGAAAAGGGCAGAACTCCTTGTTAGTTGGGGGCAGAGGGGGTCACTGCCTTTGAGCATACTGAAAAAAGTAAGAACAGGCAGGTAGTGTATATAAAAGGACAGAAAAATGCCGTTACATTAGCTAAAACTAATTGCAGCACATTAAAAGCCTATCTTACACTATGACATAATACTGAGCTGTATACAAGCTAACATGCAACAGTGTTAGAATAAAGGCACCTCTCTAGTCTCAGAAATCAAAGACTGTGGGTCTACAGCTACTCAACATTAAAATGTCTGTGGAATACTGGTTTCTTCTTTAAAGCAGCCTGCACAATGACACATTAAAAACACTAAGTTCTGAATGCCTTCTTTTATAAAAAGATGATAGTGCACCATTTCTGACTTTTAAAGTCAGCTGTTAGGGAAACAAAGAGCTATCTCAGAAGTACCTATGCCATAGAACTACTGACGTAGTATGTTACGTTCTTCCATTTCACCAATGTATGGAAGTAGCTCACTATACTCAGCTAAGCTTCAAGTTTGAGACACTGGGGAATCATTTAATGGCGAAGGCATTGTAACAAGTTCAACTGTCACTTTCATTATGCATCAGACTGTTAAAAGTAATCATACATGGAAGCACCGTAATCTAGGAAGGAAGCCTACTTCAAACTATGGCACAGAACGAGCAGCTCAGCAGCGTACCCTGCTATAAGCTACTCAAGGTGCCACATTTTAAGAACCATGACTTAAATATGGTTGGAATATTTAAGTCTTCTCTTCTGGAAATGTTTATGGTGTCAAGGTATCTAGCTCGTATTCCAGTAACCACAAAAGGGAACCCCAGACTTGAATGTATTTTGTTTTCAGGCGGCCTATGCAGTATCCCCTAGCAAGAAAGATGCCCACATGACCCTAACCAAAAGGCAGGGAGGCGACGCATAATCACCAGAACACAGACGAACACTAACTCTGAGCTCATCCGCATATTATTAAAAACTTCATTACAGAATTCCCACTGTTCCTTCAAATTGTCCTTCAAATAATGTAGGAAAGCTATTGTTGGAAATGTGTGGCTCTTTTTTATTAGTTTCCTAAAAGATTTCAAGTTTAAAATCATATCTGGCAATTGAACCCCAAGTCACAAACTTAAAAAACAACCTTGTATACAAAACGGGTCTTGGAAACAAGTTCTGCACTATACAATGGTAAATAAGAAGACAAATACATATTTCACACTTTTTATTTACAAATTTTATAATACCAGTCACACATTTCAGAACCATTTATTAAATTGTAAAGCAGACCACTCAAGTTTTACACTAAACAAACTGTCTCCAGGCAACACTTTTTAAAAGTGGCTTAGTAAAGGAGATCACTTTCCCAAAAACAACTAAAACTTGCCTTGAATAAACCACAGTCACAAACAGTAACTAGGCAAAACTAACCATTGATACAGGATTTAAGACATCTTTAAAAAAAAAAACACACTTCAGGGCAGGCTCTAAATCACCCAGAAATGAAAAAAAAAAATTTGACAGCATTGATATTTATCACAAATCATTTTATACACATCCACTGCCCTTTAGGAGATATAATGGTGAGATTATGAGGTCACCTCCCCAGGGAATGGCAAAACTCAGCCACTGGCAGCATTTAAAACTAGACTGGAAGAGGTCTGCGGAACACTAAAAAGCCATCCTGCATTGATAGAAAGAGAGATTAAATAACTCAAGAGATCCTTCCCTCCCCATCATTAGATAGTACAATTCTCACCATTATAAACCACGATTTAAAGCCAAAGGAAAAAAGCCTTTGAACACCTGAGATCAGAGGGAGCAAGGGAAACAACGGGGGAGGGGTGACTGACTGGCACGAATGGGGGGGATCGAAAGAAGAACCCTTTTCGTACAAAACGCTCTCGTTAAAAATGTGCTGTAAACCCCCATCCATGTGCTGTGGCTGACTGATGTCAGCAACTGCCTGGGTTGGGCTCAAAGGGAGCCTCCTCTTTTCAGACGCCATGTTAGTATCGTACAGGCTGCTGCAGTTTCTACAGTCAGGGAGAATTTCTTCTTCCCCATCCTCAACCAATAAACTTCTCTAGCCAAAATAAATTAAATACGCACACAACACTAGCACTACTCAGGGCACAGATCACCTGAAATCTAAAGAGATTATCCCAAGCCCACAGAATTTTCTCTAATCAGGCAGAGCAAAACAACCCCCATCACCGCCACACACGCTTCTCTATCCGGAGCAGATGATCACCTTTCACCCACAAACTTTTCTATAAGATAAGGGTGTCCCACCCCCCCAAAATTAATATCTCACAGGGACCGCACTGGGAAAATAGCCTTACATTAACTGATACTTAAAAGTCATTATTGTTAGCCCTTCAGAAGTGGACAATTTGCGTTCTATAAACTTAACCTTATTTTCATTCCTTTAAACTACCCCGCAAAAGAAAAATCCCAACCCTCCACCAAATCTCCCAGTCAGGCCCTCTCTAATGATCGCAATATTCACCTACTGTCGAAATCGCTAAATGCAAGGGTTTAGACACCAGATTCGAGACACTGGATACTGGCTCCATGTAGGGGGAAAACCCAGCTACAAGGGCGAGGTGCTGCTGCCCAGTCACTGCCAGGCCGCCATGTTGTGTCTGATATTTACACGGGGCTTAAATCGCGAGCCACGCTGCCCTCCCCGAGCTTTTGGTGGGGCGAGTCCCAAACCCTCCCCTACTACGAACAGGGGGGTGGTGCGGGGGCTGTTCCCCTCCCTCGAGTCCCCTGCTCCCTATGGGGTGGAGGGTAGAAGCAGCAGCCTTAAGCTTAGCGATAAAAGGAGGAGCCCCCCCCCCGACGACCTCCCTGATCCCACCTGAGCCACGCTTCTCTCCGCCTGCTTCCCCCGCAGCGACCCCAGGCTCCTGGCCCTCTCTCCCCGCTGCCCCGGCCGGAGCACCTCGACTCCCCAGCACCCCCTGCTCCCTCCAAAGCCTGCCCTCCCTGCTCGCCCCCTGCTCAGCCACCCC